AGACATTCCTTTCCCCATCCCGTTGCCTTGGTGCTTTGGTCAAAAGTCAGGTGTTAGAACTGCCTGTCTCTGGGCTCCTGTCCTGTGCCGGTGGTGTGCATGCTGCCTGTCTGCCAGCGCCGCACTGTCTCGCTCCCTGCAGACTCACAGTCCGTCTTGCAGGTGGTGTGGGCCTCGCAGTAGTGCTGGTATTTTTAGAGATTGTTTTAGCAGTTCTAGGTTCTCTGCCTTCGTGCGTCACTCTGAGAACCAGCTTGGTGCTTCTCCAGGAGAGTGCGCTGGGCCACCGGTGGGCTCCTCGCGCCGCCCAGCTTGAGAAGGAGGTGCAGCGGCGCCTGGCCGCACCTCCTGCGTGCACGGGCTTCCGTACGTGGCCTTTCATTTTTCTCAGCAGTGTCTGACGGTTTTCAGCGTAGAAGTCTGGCACCTCTTTCACTAGAATTATCCCCGAGTGTGTGTACTTCAGCGTTATTTTAAGTAGCATATGAAATTTTTGTTTTTTTAAGTTCTTTGTTGCTGGTATTTATAAATACAGTTGACCTTGGGTCCTGTGACCTTGCTTCACGTGACCAGAATTCACACGAGTTCTGGTAACTTCTCTGAATTCCTTGGGGGGGTTGGTGTTCGTGTCTGCGCACAGAGACAGTTTTGCGTCCTCCTTCCCAGCCTCTCTGCCGTCCGTTCTTTTTTCCTGCCGTGTGGTGCTGGCCAGGGCCTATGGCAGATGTCTGCGGTCCCCACCCATCCCCACCCGTCCCCACCTTGGGGGCCTGGGCTCATACCGCCAGTTTGGTGTGGGCTGTGGGGCCTCTGTTTTCCGGGTGCGGGCTCCTGGCAGAAAGTGTGTGCTGAGCAGAGAAGTCACCGTGAGACGCGCTGGCTGGCAGTGAAGGTGCTGGCTCTGAAGGCTGAGGTGGAGAGACTCAGGGACCCGGGAGGCGGGCAACACGTGGAGGCTGGGCCGGGCCTCACAGGGGGAGGAGCCAGACCACAAGGGAGGTGGGAGTGCCGGCCCACCGGTGGCTCTGGCCCGCATGCATGTTTGGAGGGGCCTGGGATGAGGGGACTGCCAGGGACACGGGAACTCCGGCGGGCCGGGGAGCATCGCCTCCTCCTTCCTAAGGCCCCCCGTCTCCGGAGAGCCGGAGGCGGCAGCAGGCACAGCAGAGACTGCCCGCAGCAGCCCGCCGCGTCGCCCCTCCTCCGGTCTCCGGGGTCCTGAGTGTGTGTCACGGATAGGAGCTGCATCTTGTCCTGGGCGTCCTGGGTCTCCGTTGAGAAGATCGTGTGAGTTTTCTCTCCTTTATCTCTTAATGAGGCGAATTGCCGTGACTCGCTTTAGAATGTCAGGCAACTTGTCACTGCTGGGGTAAACTCACGTGAACAAGGCGTCTCGCTGACTTTAGTTTGCTGATACTTCTAAGGGGTTTGTGCCTGTGTTCGTGGGGGATACTGTCTGTAGATCTCCTTGCCTGTGGTGACTTGCACTTTACAAGGCTTTGCCCTTCTCTGGCTTTGGTGTCGGGGACGCTGGCCTCACAAAACCGCGAGGGGCCAGTGTGATTCTCCAGTGACTGGTGGAGTTCAGCAGTGAAGCCGTCTGGGCTTGGAGCTGCTCTGTGGAAGGCATTCGCGAGGCCGAGCTCTGTCACAGGCGTGGGGCTGTTCAGATACTCTGCTTCTTCTGGTGTCAGCTTTGGCGATTTGTGTCTCCAGGGAGTTTGTCCATTTCTCCTAAGTTGTCGCATTTACTGACAGGCCGCTTTTCATGACGCCCCTTATTCTCCTTTTATCCCCGCGAGAGCTGTGTGACGACTCCTGTTCGCGATTCTTCTCTAGATCGTGTCAGGGTCTGAGCAGGGTCACACCTTGGGACGGGTGGGTGTATTTTTCTGTCTTGCAGTCTGCGGGTTCCCCCTCCATCTCTTTTTCTTCCTTGCAGCATTTGTTGAAGTAACCCCAGTGTTTGTCTTGGCGTTAGTTCATTCTTCAAATAGCAGTTCCCTTTCATTTCTGATGGATAACATTGCTTTTCAAACTCTCTGATTTGAGCTGATTGGTTTCCTAGACCGGGAACATGTAAGTCTGTTTAGCTCCCAACAGCCAACGTTGTTTGAACTTGAAGCAACGTAAAGCTTGTGTGAGTCATGCCAACAGCACCGTAAGCAAGACAGCGGTTGTCTTGAAGCAATGCCTCCCTTCCCTCCTTCACGTTTTGAGCCGAATAACGAGGATGTTTTGTTTCTGTGTCTGGGGAGTGAACAGTGTTTAAGAACGGTGCTGAGGGTGGTAACAGAGAGCACTAACGATGCTCGCCTTTGTGTTCCAGGTGGGTCTGTGAGGAAATCCCGGATCTCAAGCTCGCCATGGAGAATTACGTTTTAATCGACTACGACACCAAAAGGCAAGCAGTCTGAGCTGCTTCCCCTGGGGGGACGCAGCCTATGATTAGATCTTCCTCAACGGCGCAGGCGGGTGGGAAGCTTCCTTTTCGATTTGGCTGCAGCCTGCGTGGAGTTATTTTGGTCGGAAATGTTTATCAAATATTGGCAGCGGCTGTCAGAGTGAGGACATAACTGGAAGGGGCGGAAACTGGGGCTGGAATGTGCGAAACTACCCCAAGTTCGGAGCCGCTGTCCCTGCAGCCGCTGTCTCCACAGCAGGTGGCTGCTGGCGCTGCGGGCCCTGCCCAGCCCTGGCCTGGGCCCGCTTGGCTGGGCTGCTCCTCACAGTCTCCTGCAGGCACGTCCGGGTTCTCTGTGGAGAGTCCTGTGGGGGGGAGGGCGAGGCTGCGTCTGGAATGCGTGCCTGGAGTTCTTCTTGCCAGCCTTCCGTGCTCCTGCCTGTGGGGCCCTCGGCAGGCTCCCGGCCTCGGTCAGCCCCCGTCCTCTTCCCTTCACTGCCCACCTCCACCCCGTTCGAAGACTAGCACCTGCTGCTGTAAAAAGAAGGGCCCTGTGCTCGCTCCTCGTCCGGAGCGGTCAGACCTGGGAGCAGCCGCACAGGTGGCTGCATAGGCTCGGGCCGCTGGGCACACCCGTGGCCACTGACCCGCACCCAGGGCCCTCCTCCCCTGGGGTTAGGGCCCCTGAATGGGGCTCGAGTGGTCCCTGTGGCTCACGTCTGACAGCTGGGGGGGGCGCCCTATTCCTGGCCTAGCGCAGCCGGCGTTTTAAGGGTGCTTCTGCTACAAGGTGCTGGCAGGGCGTTGGAAGTTCTTCCCTCCAGGTCATTTGGTCGACGAAGGGCCGGAAGGTTGTGGGGCTGGGAGGGGCACCCTGATGGCGTCCACTTGAGGGACCCGAGGGGCCTCAGGGTCCTGCTCAGAGCGGGTGACCCAAGACAGCAGGGCCAGCCCTTGTGCCGGGACCAGGTGTGGGGACAGCCTGGGGGCAGGCTCCTCCTTCCGGGAAGAAGTCTCTTCTGGGTGCGGTTGGAGGCTTTCAGGGGCTCTGGCCATCAGGCTGAAGGAGGTGTAAAACCGGGAGGGAAGGAAACAATTTGGTCGAGAGACGGTGCGGGGCTTTCTCCCCGAGGACTGCAGGGGAGACGCAGTCCGAGACCTCAGTCTGGCTCGGAGTCCATCCTTGCATTTGCAGATTGAGCACTGGGGGCCAGGGTGCGGGAGTGTCATTCACAGACACCTGGGCGACCCGGGTGGTGGGGGCGCGCGCCCTGGCGGCTCCCCGGCCTTGATCTGTCCTCACCCGAGGCCGGCAGGGCACACCGCTGATGAGGCAGGCATGGACTGGGAGCCGCCCCCTCCCAGATGCTCCCAGGGCCCATGGTGCCCCCGGGACCTCTGCCCACGGCCCGTCCTTGCTGTCCCCCGAGAGGCCTGCTGGCTTGTTCTGAGCTCGACGGTGACCACCGCCTTTCCTTGCCTTTTCAGCTTCGAAAGCATGCAGAGGCTCTGTGACAAGTATAACCGGGCCATCGACAGCATCCACCAGCTGGTAGGTGGCCTTCCCTGACCTCCGGCCCGTCTCCTCCTCTCAGCCCATGTCTTGTCATCTGGGCGGTTTAGCCACGCCTCCCACCCCCTGACCACCTGGGAGTGGCGAGGGTCAGGGAATTGCTCTGCTGTGACACGGGCAGTCGGGACCAGGTAGACCTGGTTTCCTCCCAAAGTTGCCCCCAGCGTCCTGTGGGCCACAGTGCGTGGGCAGGTGGGCGACAAGGAGCTTTCCTGGGGCTTCTGTCCTTCACCCAGCCCCATGGGCACTCTGAGCGTGGGGCTGACAGGCTTCCCTGGCCTCACCTGGCCGGGTGCGCGTGCCAGGACAGGCCGGCTGGGAAACTGTCCAGAGAACTCACGCATCCTGGGCCCCCACCCCTTACGCGGGCACGCAGGTTCCTGTGCCCACATACACACGCACACGTGGCTGCGTGTGGCCGGCGGCTGGGTGGGGGGCAGACTGTCACGGTGCCCCTGCTGCCGCCGCAGTGGAAGGGGACCACACAACCCATGAAACTGAACACGCGGCCGTCCACCGGGCTCCTGCGGCACATCCTGCAGCAGGTCTACAACCACTCGGTCACTGACCCCGAGAAGCTGAACAACTACGAGCCCTTCTCCCCGGAGGTGTACGGAGAGACCTCCTTCGACCTGGTCGCCCAGATGATCGACGAGATCAAGATGACCGAGGATGACCTGTTCGTGGACCTGGGCAGCGGTGAGGGCACGGTGGGGACCGCGGTGGGGACTGTGGTGGGGCCGGGGGGCCCGGCCCTGGGCAGTCCTGTGCCGGTACTGCCTGTGCCTCATCCAGCAAGCCCCAAATTGCCCACCTGCCCAGAGCCCAGAGCCTGCCCCGTCTCTCTCTCAGCCCTGGGAGAGGGCCTGCGGGCTACATGTTCACAGAGCCTGCCACCCTCACTGAGCCACCCAGGCCTGGCCCCACCTTGTTGCCACACTCCCTCCTGGGTCTGGGGCTTGCTCTGGGGACCACTATGGACCAGCCCCCTCCAGTCTTGCTGGCACTCACCAGCCCTGAGCAGCACCCCCACCTCCTTTGGCTTGTGAGCTGCCCTCCTGCACCTGCGTGGCGCTTCCTGGGGGCGGGGCTTGGTGGGTGTGCACCTGAGGCGCCATGTCGTGACTGATTCCCAGTGGGGTGCATGGAGGTGCAGGGCCGATGGGGTACTGTCTGTCATGTCACTGATGCTCCATCAGGAGCCCCAGGCACAGCCCTCTGGGGTGTCTCTGCCACCCCCGTGGGACCTTGTTTTCCACATGAGAACCTTGTGCTTACAAAGCCGAAGTCCCCTCTCAGTCAGGCATGGTCTCGGGCTCTGAAATGGGGACGAAGATGGCTCTTTAATTTTTTAAAATGTGTAATTCGTGTTTTCATAAGAATGCATGTAGTTCAAAAGTCATTTTTCTAAAAGGCCGTAAAACTTCTGTACGTGTCAGAAGGCTTGTGATTTCTGAAAAGTGCCAGCCTCCCCAGGCCCAGCGAGCAACACCTTCCCTTCTGTCCCTGGGGAGGGACTTCACGGCTTCTGTGTTGACCCCGTGTGGTAGTACATTCTATTCAAGACGGGAGATTGAGGTGCTCCTCATACTTCAGTTGAAATGCCAGTGACCTGAGTTCAAGGAAAGACCATTTAGAAAGCTTCCTTTTGACGTGAAGATGGAGCAGACTCTGCCCATGTCTCCCTAGCGCTCCCATCCTGCTTCAGACTCAGTGAGGACGCTCTGAGGTTGGTGGGCTTTGTCGAGGCAGCCAGGCTGCTGTGTGCTGGATGGGCCTTCTAGAGGTGCTGCTCATTCTCGTGGAGCCGTGTCTGTCTGGGAAGTTCGTGCCACTTAGGGCTGTGGACCAAGGATGGATTCTGGTTGAGGGGCCAGGGGGTGCTGTCTGTGGATGATGAACTGGAACACAGACGGCCGTGCCTTGGGGGGCTCAGCCTGCAGCCTGGGGCGTTTGAATATGTTTTGTGACCTCTAGTACCTTTGCTGAGTGCCTCTGCCTGGCGACCTTGTGGCCCCCACCTGCTGCTCAGGTGTGGCCCTTCCTCGGTGTCTGACGCTTCCCCCCCCCCGAAGGAGTGGGCCAGGTCGTGCTGCAGGTCGCCGCGGCCACCAACTGCAAACATCACTATGGTGTCGAGAAAGCAGACATCCCAGCCAAGTACGCGGAGGTGAGAGGTCCTGGGCCCCGGGTGGGCTGCGGCTCCTTCCTTTCCAGCCTGGGCTCCTGGGTTCTCTGTGAGCAGGGGCGGGGCGGGGGGCCATCGAGGGGAGGGACGGTGGGGCAGGGCTCCGGGGGGGGTCGCCCACTGTGTGTCTCAGGCTGTCCAGCTGCCTCCCCTCACTGCCCTAGAGAAGGCTACGCTGGCGTCCCTGTTGGGCCAGCGCCTGCCGGGGGTCAGCAGGTCAGGGGAGTGGGGGCACCTGAGAGGCCACATCCCCACGGAAACGTATTTAGAGCCTCTGCTTCCCTGGGGGCTGGGGGAGGGGGACACGGGGAGCCACAGGCGCCCTGCCTCCTGCCGCCCGGATTCCTTACAGGCCTCTGGTTCCCTTGCAGACCATGGACCGCGAGTTCAGGAAGTGGATGAAATGGTATGGAAAAAAGCATGCAGAATACACAGTGAGTGCCATGGCTCATGCCCCCGCGCTAACTGCGGCCCCCCGCCCTGACCGCCCGGCCTCGCGCCTGGCCGCCGCCTCCCTCCCCCACCTCTTTCCACACTCCAGCCACCCTCTGCCTCCTTTCTCGGGGGCCCCTTTGGCCGCGGTCCAGCTCCTCCTGCACTACGGGCTCAGAGAACAGAGGTGGCCCCTGGGTACTCGATGAGGCCTTGGGAGCCCTGAGTCTTTGGGGGCAGCCGCTGCTGGGTGGGCAGAGCGGGTCGGTGGGGTGGCATTCCCCCCAGCTGCGTGTGGCCCAGCAGACAAGTCTCCAGCTCTCTTGGTGCCGCTGTCTCTCTGCCCCCGACTCTCGGTCACTCTGCCAGGCCTCTCATCACAGAGGCTCCTCGGGTCTGGCTCCTGGCCCCTCCTGGCCCCTCCTGCCCAGGGCGTCTGCGTCCACACCCTTGCTGTGTGTCTGCAGCGTGCGTCTGTGCTCAAGGCTCCATCCGTCTCTTCAGGGGTTTCCATTGCCATGGACGCCTGGCTGCTGTGCAGCTGTCAGCCTTGGGCCCCTCCTGAGCACCGCAGGTGGCGGGTCCCCCTCATGGAGCCCAGGCCCGAGGCCCCGCCCTGCTCCTGCCGCAGCCCCCAGGCCCTTGTGGTGCTCGGCTTGGGTTAGCAGAGTGACCACGGCCTCGGGCTGGCAGCCGGAGGGCAGGGAAGGGGGGCGCCAGGCCCTTAGGGGCGCCTGCTTCTCCCTTCGTGGGCTGTGTTTGGAGGTCAGGTCTGCAGCATGTCACCGGAGCTCTGAGGTCTGGGGCTTGGTCTCCAGACCTGTGGCCCACTTGGAGTTCGCGCTCGCAGAGGCTGTGAGGCCTGGGTCTGGGCTCACCTCTGTGTGTGTGGGCGTCGAGTTGTTCCTTTTTGGTCTAATTGGTCCAAGTTCTGTAGCTTTCTCACACGGGTCTGGTACGTATCTTGTTAGGCAGCTGAAGCGTCTCACGTTTTTGGTGCTGATTTAAGGGGTGTTGTCTTTTTAATTCCGAGTTCTGCTGGTTTCCTGCTGGTTCCTAGGAGAGTGCTGGCCCCTGGTGTGGTCACGCGCGGCAGTGCCGTCAGCCGGCGGCCTCGCTGTCGCTGTTGTGCCGGTTCCAGAGGATTTTCGTTGTCGCTGTTGGCTGTGTTGGAATTCCTGTGCAGAGACGGCCTCGCGCCTTCACTCCGGGTCCGGCCCCTCCTGCTCTGTCTCCCGGCGTCTGCTGGGTGGAAGGTGGCGGGGACAGGGCACGGCTGGGCCTGCCCTGCCCTCAGCGCCAAGCCTTGGGAGCGTCGCCCTGGGTGTGGTGCTGGCTGTGGGCCTCCGGCTGATGGCGTTCCCGTCTGTTCTTACCTTGCTGGACCCTGCGTCCGACAGAGACTGGGTCTTGCTGACGGCCCTTCTGCCTGCGCCTGTCGAGTTGCCGGTGTGAGTCTCTCTGTGGCCTGTTAATGAGATGGGCACAAAAGCTGAGGCAGCCTTCCATGTCCGGGGCCCCCCACACGGTCCCGGGGTGCCGTTCTTTTGCTTGTTGTTGGGCCTCTGGTTTGTTTCTGTGTCACCGAGGGCATTGTGCCCAGGAGGGACACTGGTCCGTAGTCCTCCTTTCTCTCGCTGTGCGGTTCTGGCTCCAGGGTGGCGCTGGCCTGGTGGGGTGAGTGGGGACGTGCCCCCTGCCGCTGCCCTGCTTTCCTTGGACCCGGACTCGCACAGCCACAGCGCGGGCCCAGCCCCCCTCCCCTTCTCCGTGGTGGAGGTCCTCGCAGGATGCTCCCCCTCAGTGGAAAGCGAGGGGCGTGTCCTGCCCTCCCGGGGCCCTCCCACGTCGGAGGGCCTCTGGGGCTCGTCGCTCAGGTGGAGGGCAGGCAGCCCAGCTGGCCCCTGCCCCCAGGGGCGCCTTCCCGCTGGGCTCCGTGTCTGCTGGCCCGGCCCTGAGCTCCTAGATGGCTGTTTGTTTTCCTAAGACGGTGTGACCTCCTAAAACGCAGGTTTTTTAAGTTTAAAAACTGCTTTCTGCTTCTGGTGAGAGGGTTAGACAGTTGAAGCACATAGTATCCAAGTTTGCTTGGGTTGACACCGGTCCCAGGGATGCCTGGTGGCCCCGCAAGCACCTCCATGCTGTGCGCGGAGCGTGGTTCTAGCTGCCAGTGCTGCGGCCGGGGCAGGAGGCGGGGCTGTGTGACGGTCAGCGGTGCCTCTGCGTGATGGGCACCTCCCTGCGTGGGAGCCTCTCACTCTTTGCTGCCTGTGGTTCAGGGCGCTCACTGGCCCTGCCGTGGCCCCATCGAGATGTCTGGGAGCAGAATTTGGCTCAGAGGGCGCTTGGTCGCAGCCGTGTCAGGAACAGCCATGGCTCTGGCATCCCCTGGACCTTTTCCAGGGAGCAGCCTCCCCATGCGGCCCTGCCCAGGAGGGTGTCATGGCAGTCCCTGCTGAACGTCCTGGGTCTGGAGAGGCCCTCCCCTGGCTCTCTGGCTTTGACCAGGCGCCCTGAATGGCAGGCGGCGTCCTGCCTGCGCTTCTTAACAGCTGAAGAGGGAGTGAGGCCAGCAGGCGCCTAAGAGCAGCCCAGGGCCAGGGCCGCCTCCTGGGCCCCCTCGCCGGCCCTGCCGCCCAGGGCTCTCCTCCCAGCAGGTCCCCATCCCCTCCTGCGCGTGGCTTCTGCCTGCGTGTCTGTCCGTCACACCTCAGGGTGCCCCTTCTGCCTGGAGCTGCCTGGGTAGCCATGTGCTGTTGGTGCCTGGTGGCGGGCCTGGCACCCAGAAGGTTCCCAGCGCCCAGAGCAGGTGGCGGCCTCACAGAGGTGCCCATCTGGGAGGCGGCATGGCCTCCCTCCGGGTGAGGCTGCCCTCCAGCTGGTCCAGGGCAGGGTGGACCAGACGGGGCCAGCTGTTCAGGCACAGTAGTCTGCGCGCACCTGCAGCTGCTCCTGGGCGGTCAGCGCCCCCGGGCCTGGCTGGGCTGTGCGCAGGGAGAGGACCCAGAGAGCCACGACCGACCACCAGGATGCGGGCGACCCCCCGTGGCACCTGAGTGCTTTAGCACAGCCAGCTTGGCCCCTCATGCTCGGATACCCTGGGGTCTCCGTGTGTGATGGAGGGTGCTGAACCTGCAGCTGCTCCCCCGGCGCAGCCACACGGGACAGCAGCACTTGAGGGACCCTCTCTGCTCAGGGTCTGCCCTCCTGCCCATCCTGAGAGAGGCTGGGGCCAGGACTGCTGGGCAGTGCCGTACCTCTCACCGTGAGAAAGCGTCCCCAGTCACCTGGTAGCATGTGCCTCCACCCACCCTTGTCTGACTGTGTCCCTGTGGACTGGCCTGTTCTGGACATTTTATATACATGGGATCACACACTGTGCGTCCTTCTGTGTCGCCTTCCCTCACTGAGCACCGTGCTCGCTGGGTCTGTCCACGTGGCAGCGAGTGTCAGTGCTTCTCCCCTTTTCTCAGCTGAGTGATGCTCCTGCGTGTGGAGGGACCACGTGTGTTTATCTGTCATCTGTCCATGGACACGTGGATGGTTTCTGCTTTTGCTCCCGTGGATGTGGGGTAGAGGTTTCTCTGTGGAGCTCTGTTTTCAATTGTCTCGGGTGGATGCCCAGGAGTGTGACGAGAGCCTCTTTTGAAGAATTATACAACCAGATTTCTTGGTTTTCTGAGTGTTGCAGCTCTGGACAATTAGGTTAATAAGACTTGTGTTCTCTTGGACAGACTTTGGCCTTGAGGCAAAATGAGATTAGTCTGCTCCCAGAAGTAGCATTGAGAGCAGGTGTTGGAGGTGTGAGGATGGCCCTGCTCTCAGGTAAACGCAGCGAGGTCGGCAGCCACGGGAGGTGCAGCCCAAGGTCCAGAACAGCCGCCTCTGGCGCCCTCTGCCGGCCCCGTGTGGACATGCGGTGGGACTCCGGCCCCTTCTCCGGTGCCCCAGGCAGCGAGCCCTCCAAATGTGTGGTTCCCCTGCGGGCACGGTCTCAGCTTCTCCCCGACGTCCCCTTCTGGGAGCCTGGCCACACCGAAGTCTAGCCGCGTCCTCCCCACGGGGGGCCTCTGCTCATTCCATCTCCTTCGGGGTGGACGCTGGCGGGCGCAGAGGCCAGCGAGCCCTTGAGAGTGATGGGCTGTTTCTGTTTTCTCCCTTCAGCTGGAGAGAGGCGATTTCCTCTCGGAGGAGTGGAGGGAGCGGATCGCCAACACGAGGTATGGCTGGGGCTGGGGTGTGGGCTCTGGGGCCTGGCCAGCAGGGCAGAGGCAGCATGGCTTCCCTCCTGGTCACCTCGCCCCGGCAGGGGCCACGGCCCCAGAGTAGGGGACAGCGAGCCAGGGAGGGCCCCAGAGGGTGGGCGGCCGCACAGTCTGACCCCGGGCTCCCCGCCTCTGCGTGCCTCTTACAGAGAGAGGCTGCCAGGAGCCCACAGCTGTCCTCACAGTCCTGACAGGGGTCTGCCCTCCCTGAGGCTCCTTTCTGCCGCTGTCTTGTCACCTC